AACGCCTCTGGTGTTGAGCCAGACCCCGAGAAAGTTCGTGCAGTCACCGGTTTTCCTGTATCCCAGTCAGCCAAAGATGTCCGGAGTTTTGTAGGACTTTGCTCCTATCTTAGAAGGTTTGTGAAAGATTTCGCAACCATCGCTCGGCACCTCACAGAGCTTCTGAAGAAAGACGTCACATTTACGTGAGGTACCGACCAAGCTGCTGCTTTTTCTCACCTAATCACGCTACTGACGACTCCACACATATTGGCTCACTTTGACCCATTCGCTCCGACAGAAGTCTGAACCGATGCTAGTGGTCACGGAATCGGAGCCGTCTTAGCTTAACGCCAACGGGGACACGACCGAGTTGCCGCCTACGCTAGCCGCCTCCTCACAGCTGCTGACCGCAACTATTCCATTACAGAGCGTGAATGTCTGGCTCTTGTTTGGGCAGTCTCAAAGTTCCGCCCATATTTATATGGCACTAATTTCTCAGTGATAACTGACCATCAAGCGCTATGTTGGCTTACGTCACTGAAGGATCCTACTGGCCGGCTCAGGCGCTGGGCTCTGCGACTGCAAGAGTATACCTACACGATGACGTACAAGTCGAGGCGCCTACATCAGGACGCAGACTGCCTGTCCCGCTACCCGGTTGCTGAGTCGAGCACTATGCCTGACGCCGACACCGAGCCTTGCATCTTTTCCCTTTCACAAATGACATGCATCGGTGACGAGCAGCGCCATGATGCGACTCCTTGCGTACTATAATTGAGCGCCTTGAATCACTATCTTCTAATCAGTCCAATCGCTCATTCGTGCTCCACGATGGTGTTTTATACCGCCAAAGTTTTGAGGCGGATGGACCGGCCGTGCTGCTTGTCATTCTGAAACACCTTCGCTCGGAAGTTCTACATGATTTTCATGACCTTCCGACTGCTGGTCACCTTGGTGTGTCACGCACTTACGACCGAATACGCCGACGCTTCTACTGGCCAGGGCTTGCACGCTCAGTCAGAAGATACGTTGCAGCATGTGAGAAATGTCAGCGTCGCAAAACACCATCGACACTTCCCGCCGGACGCCTTCAACCACTCGATATTCCGTCAGAACCGTTCTTGCACATTGGCTTGGACCTTCTTGGCCCTTTCCCCTCGTCTTCCTCGGGTAACAAGTGGATAGCCGTGGCCACCGACTACGCCATGCGTTATGCCATCACACGAGCTCTTCCAATAAACTGCGCCACAGATGTCGCCGACTTCCTCCTCAAGGACGTGATTTTGCAACACGGAGCCCCACGGCAGCTGCTTACAGACCGTGGCCGCACCTTTTTGTCGAAGGTCATAGCCGACATCTTGCAGCCTTGTAAAATGAGACACAAGCTGACTACGTCATACCACCCGCCAACCAATGGACTCACGGAGCGTCTAAATCGAACTCTTACAGACATGCTCGCTAAGTATGTTTCTACCAACCACACCGACTGGGATCTCGCGTTTCCATACATCACATTTGCCTACAATGCTTCGCACCATGACACTGCCGGTTACTCTCCATTTTTTGTGCTGTTTGGCCGAGTACCAACATTGCTTCTAGACACCGTCATACCGTCCCCTGGAGTACTGACCAGTGAATATGCCATGGACGCTATCACTCGGACCGCTCACGCACGAGAAATCACCTGTACTCGCCTTCTGACCTCTCAAGAGAAGCAACGACCCTTCCCAGTTCTTTGGTCCTGCTCTGGTTCCGACCCGTCAAGTTGGCTTGTAAGAAAAACTGCTTACTCGCTACACAGGTCCATACCGAGTCCTTCGTGTGGTTACTCTTGTAAGATATGAAATTGGTCCTGCCACCCCGTCGCCTTCACATGCTCAACAGGCTACCGATATTGTACATGTTGCAGCGGCGTTTGTGCCGCCGGGGGTTATGCTACATGCATGTATATTGATATTCTAGGGGGCGACGTGCGTGTGTGCCTGACGAGGAAGACGAAGAACTGTCTCCGTTCGATCGCTGGTGAACCGGTCACGCCATTACCGCTAGTTTTGAATACATCTCATCCCTAGCCTCGTCGATACAGCGTCTCTTCTTTTCCGTAACAATATCAATATTTGGAGCATTGTTTTTCAAAACTTGGTAATGAAGAGTGCTATGGCTTTGACAGTTAATTTGTGTTGATGCCTTGACTAGACACTTTATGGTGTCGCGATTTCACGATACATTAGGTGGGAGCACCGGTTGTTATTTTTGAAAAATATTTGGGCAGGATTAAATTAAACCAGATAAAAAGCAGGCTAATTCAACTGTGGGGCCCAAGTTAGGCTAATTCAACTGTGGGGCCCAAGTTCATACGTTTCTATTCAACACAAGTCATTTGGAGACCGTTATATATTACTCTTTTTTAGATGTATTGGTGTGTCCATCCACTCTGTACGCAGTCCTCACCTAGCAGATGACAAAATGTTGGACAGCACAGCCTTTAACTGCTGTTCTTGCATTTGACCATGAGACGAGACTAGACCAATCCTGTGCTACATGATACAATGTTCTATCACAGAATGTGTACAACATTTCACACCTGCATGGCTAGTTGCAATGACGTCGAGTACCAAACGTACAATACTGGCAATTTTCATGTCACCAAAAAACATAAAAAATGGCCTTTGTGTGTCACCAACGTAGTCATGGAAACATCACGATATCTTGCACAAGCACGTGACAGGGAAGTTCATGCGGTGTTATGATGTCAGAGTACAGTAGAAATAGAAACATGCAAGCAGTCTTTCTTTGTAAGGGAGCACTCATTTTCGAGCCTCTTGAGGACTCGGTCTTTTGTTTGATGTAAGAAAACTACTGAATATTTTCATGTCACTGTCATTTTAAAACAAGTAGACTATCATGTCGGACAAGTTTCATCATGTCTGATGAGTTTTAAAGCTTATTTACCACAGTCATGTGACCAACTCAAAACTGTCACTTTTTCGACCAAACTCACTGTTAGACACACTAGATGGGGGGGGGGGGGGGGGGGGGGCATAGTGAGCATGGCAACTGTGCTGTGAATGAATTTTGAAGATGTTCAGTAAGTAGGGCCAGGTCATCCAGCAGCAAGTCTTTATGCAAAACAGGCATCGATTTACATCATAGCACAGCATTCCTATACGCACCATCCCCAACTTCTTACAGTAGAAAAAAAAAAGCACAAGGTGAGGGGGTGATACTTTGACAGAGCTATATGAGGTGACATGCGGCTGGGCAAACTGAAATATTGAGACCAAGTACTGAGTATTTGTGGCAAACTATGTCATGGCTTGATTACCCGTTGCTTTTGTTAATCTGTGGGCTATTTACGAAATCTCATTAGTCCATAAGTTGTATATTGGGGCAATGCTGCTGTACAAAGGCTCAGGCCTCGGTGACTAAGAAAATTGTTTAGCATGCAAAATTTGAAAAAGGAAGCTGCTTTACAATTGCTTAAATGGAAAACTGAGGAATAAATCATTTAACAAAAGCTATCATTTTTCATAAGCTTTGTTCTTGGAAATTGGGAATGTGAGACTATGATTGAGGTGTTCCTTTCTGCCAATTTTATCTGCACCTTATGCTTGGAAAGAATATTCTGAACTTATTATTGGCACTCTGTTATTTTCTGGTTTTCACAGCAAGTTAATGGTTTAGATCACTCACTATAACATTTTGTACTCTTCGTACCCGATTTTTCAAAATGAGAACCTGCGTTCATTTTCACCCCTCGTGATGTCCATATTGCACCCAACAACGAGTGGTGAAGAGCCGATCTCTTTGCTGCAGGACAAATGCACGAGCCATGGGAAGCAATTAACGAGCCTCCTTTGGTACCTAGCTCCATAAGGTAACCTTAGTGTGACATCTCAGCGACCATATTTTGTACATCAGCTACTGCAAGAAGCTTAGATAAAGGCACTTTGGCCTTGGGGTTCTTACTAGAGAAACATCTTAATTCCGCCAAGTATCACTACTGAACGATAAAGAACCTAAAGTGTAGGCGACTTGGATATTAAGCTTGTTGGTATTATACAATGATTCTATGTACCACTAATGCACGTTGGTGAAAGACAACACCAGGTGAGATAAATGATGATGATGATTACAATTATTTGTATGTACATATGAAGATGATGAACTACACGGTCATTGCCCACAGTATAGTTTGAAAACTTGTTAGGAGGAGCACTAAATCCGACAAGAAGAGACAGTATACAGTTAGTCTTGCTGTATAACTTGAGCAAGTGTTAAACAGAATAACGCAGAACATAAAATGCAGTTTTACTATGAAATTCAAGCAATTGTAAAGGTGTGTTGCTGTTTTATGGTGGGAAAGAAAGAAAGTAAGTCCATAAAATTAACACATTTTTTGAACCCACAATATTTGACAATTGACAAATTTAGCTGAGTAGTTAACTATGTTAATAAAAGCGTGTTTTAATAATTTGCTTGCCCCGCCGCGGTGGTCTAGTGGCTAAGGTACTCGGCTGCTGACCCTGCAGGTCGCGGGTTCGAATCCCGGCTGCGGCGGCTGCATTTCCTGATGGAGGCGGAAATGTTGTAGGCCCGTGTGCTCAGATTTGGGTGCACGTTAAAGAACCCCAGGTGGTCGAAATTTCCGCAGCCCTCCACTACGGCGTCTCTCATAATCATATGGTGGTTTTGGGACGTTAAACCCCACAAATCAAATCAATCAATAATTTGCTTGTAGGGAAGTTCAGTGTAATTGCTGTTATGCATGTAATTCCTCCCCTGCCTTGGTGCCAGGCCAACCAAATTGATTGTGGCCTTGCATATACTTGGTTCTCTATTTCTGTGTAGCCCAGCTAACTGCTCATTTCTCTAATAAGCTGTAATGTGCTGGTGAAAAATTTTAAACTGGCATTGCTCTTTTGAGAACCTGCAAAAGCTGATCATACGCAGCATTATTAGTTCCACAGTGTTCTGAAGTCTGAACTACTGTCGACATTTTCTTGCGGCTGATGCAGGTTCTGGCCGGCTACAGGAATGTGCTGGCCGGCTACATCGCCTTCACGGCACTACTGAGCTTTGCTGTCTGCTACCGTGTAGGGCCACCGACAAATCCTCGGACTCTGGATTTGATTCAGTGGTCACTGCAGCTGGCAGCGCTGGTCGGAGTTATCACGTCGTCCGAGCTCCACGAGCCAACATGTGCCACAGCACTTGCCATGCTGGTGGCTTACAACCTTCCTGCTAAGTGGACAGCCAAGCTGAGGACATGGTGGCGGACACGCGTGTGCCGGCCAAAGGTGAAGCTCCTCACAGAGGAGGAATACATCTTGCAGGGTGACGTAGAAACTAGAAAGGCCCTAGACGCTCTGCGAGAGTTCTGCGGCAGCCCGAACTGCAAGACGTGGCAGGTGGTGACCCGCCTGAAGGACCCTGTGCGGTTCGCCAAGTTCGTTCAGGGACAGTCGCACCTCGCGGATGAGGAAGTGCTCCAGTATGAAGTCGATTCATCGGACAGGCCGCCTAGTGACAGGGAGCACCAGCTGACAGAGGAAAGTGACAGTGAGCAGCCATCGTTTACGGAGCTTGTAGAGTAGGTCAGTGACCCTTCTGTACAATCTGAACCTTTGCATATGAAATGGGTGTAGCAAACTGAAACTTTGCCAACACCTAGGATGGCTGGTGGTAAACATGTGCAGCTGAGGCTGTGAAATTTTATTTTAATCTTTTGGGTTTTACAATCCCATGAGGATTCTGCCAGCTTTTGGCTGGTGACTCATTCGAGAATTTCTGTTGCACGAGGACAGTCACGTATCGTGAAAGATAGGTCATTCCGCTCTGGCCTGGGTTTTTCAGACCATCTGCCCAATGGGGAGAGCTACCTAATGCTGTGGAAACTTGATGACTGAAATACCACTTGTATAAAATACAGTTCAGGGAAGCTGCACTTGGTCCTCACTGGAACAGAATCACTGCCAAGTGTGATTGACATGGATGTTTCTAGTTGAATTATAACTGTGCATTTGTAGCATAGATCTACCTCTTTGTTAGTTAGCAGCTAGCCAACCTAGATAATGTTTAAATGGTCGAAATTTTGTAATTGTTGAAGACTTTGCTAGTTGGCGAAGATGGTTTTGGCACGGGAAATCCCACATATTAAGTTTGTAAAGATTCCATGTCGAATCATATAGCATTTTTCCGACCATCACGAATGTGACTGAAAAAATTTGCACATGTTTCTCGAAGTCCAAAACTCGCCCTGCTTGATATACGTAAGTAATTAATTTTACACTTAGATCACTTCATTACACTGCCGCAAATACCATTTTATGAGTGCACTCCAACAACGTCTTTTGAAAAAAATTGTTGTTTGATGCCCTCTAGCTCAGTTGGTGCAAAATTACAGACTCTTGTAAATAGACAGGAAAGTTTTTGGCAACAGAAATAAACCAGCTGGGTGAGTTTCAAACTTCAAGAAACAGGTGAAAATTTTTTCACTCATATTCATGATGATTGAAAAAAACGCTGGATGATTTGGCATGGAATGGCCCACAACTAAGTGTTGTGTGGGCAGGGGTGCTGGTGCTACAGGGTCGTGTGTTGTCTGATGATGGGGTCAGGTGATAGGCTCTCATCACGTTTTTGTATGCTCAATGTTGTCACTGAAACGCTTATCTCAGTGATGTTGTCATTCCTTTCATAGCTGTTGTTACCCCTTAAAGAAGCGCAATGTACAGTGGAGAAATGCCTGTGCCCCGCAAGACCCACTCAGCTCTGTGACAGCTGGACCAAAGTTTGCTTGGCTTGTAGGGCTGGTTGCAAGAACTGTCACAGGTTTCATGCTGAGTGTCACAAAGGTGCCCTTTTCGTAACGGTTCGCATGCAGCGATGTAAAGTCCAATGTGGGTGGTGTTGCCAGCATGCTGGCTCACCTTTTTCAAAGTTGATGGCCATGAGCCATGGACATGACAGGCTCAACTTAGTGCTGCATTTACAGAAGCATAAATGGACAAAGGGTGTCACCTGTGTTCTGTAGAGTAAGTGGGATAGGCAGTTTCTTGCTCACATTTTCATAGTTTGTTGGTGCCTGCACTTATCCCAGGCCAAGGGTGGCATTGCCACTGTGACTGAAATTATTTCACATTTTTGACCAAAGAGACCTTAGATTTGTTTTTTGTATTCAGGTAGTGCATTTTCTTCCCTAGAACCACTGATGTGTTCTTGTGACAATACTTCGACTAACATGTGTGATTATGAACAATTTGCAACAGGGAACAGCATACAAGGGACACCTTGTAAGCAACTTCCATGGTGGCTCCACCCTTGCCCTGAAACAATAATACAGTTGCGAAAAATCTCTCTCAAAAAGAAAGATTATGTTGTCTGTACTAAAATATACACGTGTCATTGTTTATTACTACCTACTGACAAGGTGTTCGCTTTCATATTTATCTGCCACCTGTGTGCATAACACCTGTGGGAAAGAAATCTGCTCTTTTACACCTTCTAGAGCTGACATTCTATTGACCTTTCAGCATGAGCTACAAGGGTCATCTCGTCCTGTTTCAATAAACTACTTTTACTTTGCATTTGTGGATCTGTGTATGTGTGCCCACATTTATGATGCGGCCACCTGTGTCAAGCTCGTAAACATTCAACAGCTCTCGCGTACCTAGCGAATCGATTTTATTTATTTATTTATTTAATACATACTGCGGACACAAGGGCCATGCAGGGTAGGCAAAGCACAATCCAAAAGTAAAACAATAAAAGTTATGCAAAGCATGTGGAAGGAAGGTGACGGCATCATAATTTTTTTATTGTGTGAAACATTACAAAATGACACTAACGATAAGTACAAATGTTGTATGCAGAGACGTACACTGAACAGTTGCATAACAATGACAACAGCAGCTTCAGAAGCAGCAACTATCAGCTTACACCAGAAGCGGTAAGCTGATATGTTGCATTGCGCCTGTGCTTATCAGGAAGGTAGCCCTAGACACGGCTCCAAGTTTCAGGCTTACTCAAGTTTCAAGCTTATTTCAGTCATTATTACAGAAAAAGGAACATTTTACAAAGTAGATATACAGGAGGGTGCGGGGGGAGGAAGCCTTGGACGTTTTCAACAATTTTGTGTTCAGCGGAGAAGAAAACAAGGAGGATTTCAGCACCGTAGTTGCCAAATTCGAAGATTACTGCCTGGAGCAGCAAAATGAAATACACGAGCGATACGTGTTCCTTTCCCGCAGTCAAGGTGAGGCAGAGCCCTTTGAGCAGTTTCTACGCGAGCTTAAAAAACAAGCGCAGCACTGCAACTTTGGGACCATGGCAGATGACACGATGCGAGACCAAATTGTTTTTGGAACAAACTCGCCAAGGCTTCGAGAAAAGATGCTCAGGGACAAAAAATCGACCTTCGAAAAAGTAATCATCCTTTGCAAGGCGGCGGAAACATTAGCTCATCAAAATGAATTTTGGCACAAAACACAGGAAGAATTTGATATGAACGCTGTCACAGCCAGTAAGAGCACCCCTAGAGGGTTCAGGAACGACCTAAAATGCAATCGTTGCAACCGAAGGCATGCCTACAGATGCTGCCCGGCATACGGAAAAGTATGTTACTCGTGTAATGGCCGCAACCACTTCGCGTCTTGTTGCAGTGAGAAAGGGCGCATGTATGAAGTGCAACATCAGAGCGACGACTTCGAAGTACTGAATGTCGCCAGCAGCTGCGCAAGCAGAAAACGGGACTGGCGTGTGAACGCGTGCATTGGCGGCAAGTACATCCCCTTTAAGGTGGACACAGGATCGCAGGCCAATTTTCTGCCACTTTCAATGTTTCGCAAGCTCAAGACGACGACCCTGATGCCCAGTAGCGCAGTTTTGAGATCATATGGTGGCAACACGATCAAGCATATCGGAAAGTTTTCAGCGCTTATCAAGATTGGTGGTCGCAAGCCGTTCGCAGAATTTTTTGTAGTAAAGAAGGACCACAGCACTATCTTAGGATTGGACACCAGCTAGAAGCTTGGAATCGTACAGCGGGCTGTTGACAGCATGACGACAAACGACACCGAAGAAATTGTCAAAGAGTTTCCACGTCTTTTTCACGGAACAGGATGCGCCCCACGTGAGTACAAGATTGAGCTGCACAGGGATGCCATGCCAGTCGTCCAGCCAGCTCGGAGGGTTCCCCTGTCCCTGCGTGAGCCTCTACATACTGAACTGGACAGAATGGAAAAGGAGGGCATCATCCAGAAGGTCAGCAGCCCCACAGATTGGGTAAGCCCCCTTGTCATTGTACTAAAGAAAGACGGCATATAGCGGGTCTGCGTGGACCCTAGACGCATCAACGAAAACATCAAGAGGGAACACTACCAAATGCCGCGCCGAGAGGATATTGAAGCAGACTTGGCAGGCGCGAAGTTCTTTTCGCGGCTCGACGCAAATGCGGGATTTCATCAAATCGCATGAGACGAACAATCGTCGAAGATATACACATTCGCGGCGCCTTTCCGCCGGTATCGCTTTCTTCGTCTACCGTTCGGTATAGCGTCGGCGAGCGAAGTGTTTCAAAAGACCCTTAACGAGGTTTTTGATGGTCTTGCCGATGTACGCGTGTACGTAGACGATGTGTTAATTTGGGGAAGGACCAGGGCTGAGCATGATGAGAGGCTGCGCAGAGCATTAGAAACAGCTGAAAAAGCAGGCCTTACCTTCAATGCATCCAAATGTCGCTTCGGCCAACAAGAAGTGCTCTTTTTGGGTGACATCATTAGCCACATGGATATTAGGCCGAATCCTGATCTTGTTGACGGTCTTTTGAAAATGCCAAGACCTCAGGACGAATTGGCTGTCCAAAGGCTACTGGGAGTAGTTAACCACTTCAGCAACTACCTACCAGCTCTCTCGCAGCGTACGTCTACTTTGCGTTCTCTCATGAAACCTGGTGCCATCTTTGATTGGACACCAAACCACGAAAAAGAATGGCAGGCTATATGTCTATCAGCTATATGTCTATTGTGATGGTTAAGGACGTTCGTCACTGTGTTTATTTATAGCGGACGAAAAAGGATTAACATCAACAATGGATGCGAACAAAAGAAGCGTTATATTATACACTAGAGAACGAAGTGGCAGGTGAAAATAAAACTATATGTCCAACCCTACACGCCACGCGTCACGCAACATGTACGAGAGTCGGACCTCTAGCATGCGGAGAGCTCGCGGCTACGCTTACACCGAGTCCAGCGCGTAGAGTTCTCAGTTCGCAAGAGAAAAACGCTGCCTCACAGTTTGGGTCCCCGTCGTCCCGACATGATGCGATTGTCGACGTGCGCGAGGGCAAAGGTGGCACGGCTGGAGCGGCTGGAACGGCTTACGGCACACGGATGCGCTACCGTGTGCAGCGCCGTTTAGTCAGACGTCGCGGCCAGCAGTCAGGGTCGCAACTCCTGAGGTTCAGGGTCAGGCCCCGGCTCACGAGGACCACGCCCGGTAGGCCTCGCCACGAACCTGCTCCCGGCCACTGCACCCAGGCAGGAGCCGTTCAGCAGGCCCCGTCCTTGCACCTTGAACAGGCCGGCGCACTCGACCCCGAACGAACACGCCGGAGCTCGACCTGGCCGACACGTACGGGTCCCACGTCCGGCTCAGGAACGCTCCCAGGCACTCGTCCTCTCGAGCGGCACACCGTTTCGTCTGCCTTCGTGGCCTCAACTCTCGAGCTGCAGTGGCGGAGATGCCTTGACCAGCGCGACCTCGGACCTCGTTTCCAAGCTCTTGATCACCTTCCGGGCGTAGCGGTTCCACGTGCGGGTTCTGGCCAGCACAGCACCGTCTGTGCCGTGCTGAAATGCTGCTCGCTACAGCTGCGGTGCGGCAGCTCACTCACCGGCGTTCGTCGCCTTGGCCAGGGCACAGCCAGGTACCCTCGGGTGCGCACCTCGTGAGCTCGCGGCCCACTTCCGAGGCTGGCGCGTCGTTCGGTCCGGCTCGGCACCACTCGGCGATCCTCGATTCAGGCGGCAACTCCCCTGGCATCTGAATCCTCGGCCACCCTGGACCTCGCCCGGCTCCATGGTCCTCCGTACACACGCCCGCGTCTCGCCCGGCATAACATCTCGCTCGTCCCTTGCCGAACTGCGACACTCTCGTGACACCGGCGCTTGATGGCATGGGTTCGGCCACGGAGCAGTCAACCCGCATCGGAGACGCGATGCTCCATGCGGGGAATGGCCAGCCCGTCCAGCGAAGAGCGTGCGCCGAGACGCGATGCTCGACGCATCCGTGACCATTAGCCAGGCCACGTTCATCGCTGTGTCGAACGGCTGACCGTGGAGACGCCTCGCCGAGATCCGCGATGCCCTCGGCAAGGAAGAGAACAGCAGACCAGGCCGCGCCCCGAGATGCAGTACTCGTGCCGGCAATGCCGCCCAGCTGGTGGTTGGACGGCAGCAGCGTGGACGGCCGCGTTCCCTGGCCGGAACCTGGATCGCCTGCGTCCGACGCTTCGGCCCGCTGTCTCCCGTCTGCCGCTGCTTCGGCTCGTCCCCAGCCACAAAGCCCACTGCCACGTGATGGTCGCCCGTGGCCCAATCGTGGCACGCCACCTCTATGGGCCACCACTGGTCATGAGCTGATTGGCACACAGTTGACTCGTAATCGCACGTGCCTTCTTCTCTTCTTCATTTCTTGTTGTCGCCTTCGTGCCACCTGCTCTCCGCTCGTCTTCTTCAGTTCTGGTTTGATGCCCCTCGGCGTCTTCAAGTCCTTTCCTTACACCGAGATTTAAGTAATGCCCCAATGCTTGCTATATTTGATCCAAATCGGGAGACAAAGGTAACTGCAGATGCCTCTCAAAGTGGGGTCGGCGCGGCACTTCTGCAACGTCATGGAAACTGCTGGCAGCGGGTAGCCTATGCATCGAGAGCTTTAACATAATCGGAGCAAAGATATTCACAGATTGAAAAAAAGGCTTTGGCTGCAGTTCTTGGTTGTGAAAAATTCACTTATTTTGTTTATGGCCGCACCATCACCCTCGAGAGTGATCACAGTCCGCTGATAGACATATTAAAGAAAGGCATAAGTGATATGCCACCCAGAGTGCAACGATTTTTCTTGAAATTGATGAAATATGATTACAAGCTGACGTACATTCCTGGTAAACAGATGGCCCTTGCTGATATGCTGTCCCGATCACCTGTTCCTGGAATCAAGGGAGCTGCAGGCACGAGTGACGTTGAGATTCATGCCGTCACGGTCGTATCAGCACTCGTAAGTGAAACGACAGCTAGAAAACTTGCACAGGAAACAGCTCTCGATTCATATCTTGGCACAGTGCTAAGAAAGCTTGCCAAGGGAGAGCCTGTCGATGGCCCCCTGAAACCGGTGGCCGCCGAGCTATCCGTAGTAAACGGCCTACTATAGAAAGGCACTAAAGTGGTGATACCGGCAAACATGCGTAGTGACATGTTGAAAGGGATCCACGCAGGCCATCTTGGCCAGGTAAAGTGTAAAGCTAGAGCAAGACAAATGATTTACTGGCCAAATATAAACTCGGAAATTCAGTCCTTGATCGAAAGAT